AGCTCTACCGACTGAGCTAACCGCGCGTGCATTCCAAGGTGTTTTTAACTGGACCTTTAATTAATTAATTAATATAGTTGATTGTTGTCTCTCTAACACTTCCTGTTTTATTATTATGGGAGTTGTAGTGTCAAAACAATAAACAATATTTTGGGTGAATTTACCCTTTAAAACCCAGCATATCTTTAGAGCACAGTTTACAGCCCACAGCATGGATCAGGGGCACTGAGCTACAGTTGGCCTTTGTTTGATGTTGTCATTTCAAGGCTTACCATGCACGCCATGTGCATCAGACAAAATCACCTCTTAATGTGAAACCCATACTCCAGTCTGCAAGAATAAACAAGTAAAAGTTGTGTCTAACTGTGTCTTTGCATTACGTTAGCAGCTGAACAGATAAGATTAACATCATATTTTCTCAAGTTTACATCGCAGTGTTAAAACACAGCTGCTGATGGATTCAGTGAGGAAATTTGATAAAAGCAAAAAAAAAAGATGCCGTGCAGTAATCTTGCGCATTTGAGATAAGAAAACCCAACTGGCATTTAAAAATCATCTCAAATATCCACCAAAAAAAGTAAACATTATAAGCTAATACACTGCTTGGTGAGATAACACAAGCCACACAATAGAACACAGAACAACAAAAAGCTATTAAGTGTCAGAGAAATAAGCACGAACAGAGGCCGTAAGGGAGGTGAGTGTGGTAATAAGTGTGTGGAGGGAGGGAGAGAGAATAAGTTTGGAATTAGATGCTGAGTTACTGGTTTGATAATGAGAGCAGCTGACTTATATACTGCACTGTCCCAAACTGTCAACACAGAGAAATTAAATGAGTGTTTTTCTTTTGTATAAAGAAACAAAAGTACCCTCAGCCAGAGGTGTTATTTATTTATTTAGCTAAAATCATTAACATTTGTTGAACAAAAACACAATTTCTGTTCATTGAATTAGATGGCGTTAGGTATTCAGACGATGTGCTCAGTAGATGAAAAGTGAAAAAGTACTGAGGTGCGTATCGTATTGTGTATATTAACTGCATGGAGCACGCATTCTGGAGGTCAACTTTTTTCTAATCAAAGAATGAATTAAATGAATTATAATAGAATAAAATAGAATGTTAGAGAAAACTGTAAAAATATTTTTGGTACATTATGAAACTATGGTGGGACATATTAGACCATAGTGGGCTGCCACAATCTAGGTAAATAATGGGAAACACCATGGTTCAGAGTTTTTACTTGAACCGTTCTGTTGCTCTAAATTGGTGGATACTATTTGTTTTGCTTCACAACCCCCGAAATAACTCTTTTCAGTATCAGAATTGTATCCATTTAACATTTTGAAAGTCTAAAAGAGCTTCGCAGTTAATTTTATTACCATTTAAGTAGATGGAGGGCTAAACCAGAAGTTAGTGGTTCGGCCGGTGTGCATGTGCAGTATGCATTCATTCAGGGAATTTCTTCTTATTAATGCTGTGTCCCGAGCAGATCCACTGATTGCGTTGATTCCAATGGAATAAATTGATTTTACTGTGAAATGTTGCTGTTGTGTGTCCAGGCCATAGAACTCGCTGCAGAGCTGAGAGGAAAAGTATTTATTGGAGCAGCTTTAAGTTTCTGAGAATTAAGAATAATATATAATATATATAAAATAAGAAGAAGATAATTCCCAATTGCTCTCTGTCTACTTCTTGCAGATCAAACTAAACAGCAAAGGACTGATATTCTCTGTTGGGCTCCTGCTGGCGTCTGTGTTTATGACTGTGAGTAAACATGTCTTATTATCACAGCTTCCATAGGCAGGACAGTTTGTGCCTCTAACAGATTTTTGAGTTCTCTCTATGTGTTTGTTCTCGATCTGTCTATTGATCTGTTTACCTGCCTGTCTCTCCACCCACCTGCCTTCCTCCCTCCCCGTCTGTTTGTCTGTCTGTCTGTCTGTCTGTCCAGGTCCTCGGAGTTCACCTAAACAAGTGGACGTTGGACAAGCGTCTGGGTTTCGCTTGTCTCTTCTTCTACTCCGTCTTCCTGTGTTTCTCCTGCCTCATCGAGTACAACATCTTCACCTTTGTCAACCTGCCGACCTGCCGAGACGACTGAGACACACACATACATACACACACACACACACACACAAACACACTGATGTACACACACTCACACACTAGAAGTGGTGTTTGCAAGGAATTCCAAGTAAAGTGAAGTTAAACAACAGAATGGTATAGTTCTAAATTTAGCAAGTAAGAATTATTTGCAAATACCATTTGACACTGGTCCGATTCACACACTCATTTTGTCTCTTTTGTGAGAAGAGATCCCACTCTGCTCTTTTTTTCTTTTCTTTTTTTTATGCCCATCTTTCTGCTCAGTGCAATATGGAGCTGCTCTGGCGTTTGCTCACGACCAGAGTGTGGGATTGATTTCAGGAGCAGGGATGGAAATTACTGACTCTTTAGAAGCCCTCACACAGGACAGCGCCGAGGACAGCAACCACGGGAAAGCAAAAAAAAAAAAACTTGTCCAACTACTGCTTGCTTCTGACGTGAGGACCTTTATTTTCCCCATATTTTAGGTGTGGAAGTTGTAATGTTTACTAGCTGCTATCCTTTCCAGTGAGGAAAGGCGGGTCTTTTTTTAGATCTACTAGTCGAGAGTAATAATGATTAAAGCAATGATGTAAATGGGTGGGAGGGTGTAGTTTAGCGCTGTGGTACAGATGATGACGATTTTGTCGAGTTGTTTGAACAGAGTTAGGGCCACAAGTTGAAGTCTTTATGCAGATGCATTTTACGAACTCCATTATCTTATGGCTATTTATATTTAAATTATGTGGCTGTTGAACGCGTTTTCCAATTACACTGTAAAGCTATTAGTAATTTCAACAAATAAAAACAGCTGAAATGGATTACATACATTACAAATTTAAGTTGCTTGATTAAGCAGCTTTTACTTGTAATTTTAAGTACTTTTTACTGGGTATTCTGTCTTTACAGTACAACTAAAAAACAAAATGAAGTCAATGTCACTTAAAATTACCAAAGCCACTTAATCAAGAAGGTTTTTTTGACATACAAAATTTTGTTAGTTTTACTTAAAAATTTTAATGTACTGTAATTTCAACAATTTAAAGTTAGATGAACCTTTTACAGTGTACGTTATTCAGACTATTTTCAGACTTACCCCCACCACCACACACACAC